TCACCATGTTGGTCAGGCTGGTCTTGAACTCCCTTCCTCAGGTTGATCCGCCCGCCTTGGCCTCCAAAGTGCTTGGATTACAGGCATGAGCCACCATGCCCGGCCCCATTTATGTCTTTTTTTGAGATGGAGTCTTGCTCTGTTGCCCAGGCTGGAGTTCAGTGGTGTAGTCTCAGCTCCCTGCAACCTCTGCCTTCCAGGTTCAAGCAGTTCTTCTGCCTGAGCCTCCTGAGTAGCTGGGATTACAGGCGCACACCACCAGGCCTGGCTAATTTTTGTATTTTTAGTAGAGACATGGTTTTGCCATGTTGGCCAGTTTGGTCTCAAACTCCTGATCTCAGGTGATCTTCCCGCCTTGGCCTCCCAAAGTACTGGGATTACAGGCATGAGTCATCAGGCCCAGCATGATATTTATGTCATTTTTGTTTTCTCCTTTTTCTTCCTCTTCCTTTTTAAGGCTGAAAATCTGTAGTTCAATTCGTAGAACATATACATATGGTTGTGAAAACCTGAAACATTACTGCTGTATGTAGAGTAACAGATTTCTTTTTTCTTTTTTTTTTTTTTTTGAGACGGAGTCTTGCTCTGTTGCCCTGGCTGGAGTACAATGGCTCGATCTCGGCTCACTGCAACCTCTGCCTCCTGGATTCAAGCAATTCTCTTGTCTCAGCCTCCCAAGTAGCTGGGACTACAGGTGCCTGCTACCACACCCAGCTAATTGTTGTATTTTTAATAGAGACCGGATTTCACTATATTGGTCAGGCTAGTCTCGAACTCCTGACCTCAGGGTATTCTCCTGCCTCAGCCTCCCAAAGTGCTGGGATTATAGACGTGAGTCACTGTGTCTGGCCACATGTGTTTCTTTTCTTACATCATTTTCCCATGCTACTTCCTTCCCATTTTACTCCTTTTATTCCTAGCTTTTATGTACATGTGTATATATACCCATATGCCTGGACACTCATACATATTAGCTTTCTTTTTTTTTTTTTTGTCACCTAGGCTGGAGTGCAGTGGTGCAGTCATGGCTCACTGCAGCCTTGACCTCACTGGCTGAACTGATCCTCCCACCTTTGCCTCCTGAGTCAGTGGAACTACAGGCACATGCCACCACTCCCAGCTAATTGTTGTATTTTTTGTAGAGACAAGGTTTTACCATATTGCCTAGGCTGGTCTCAAACTCCTGGGCTCAAGATATCTGCCCACTCAAGATATCTGCCCAAAGTGCTGGGATTACAAGTGTGAACCACTGTGCCAGGTTAATGTTTTAAAAAATATAAGTGGAATTCTAATAATCATATTTTATGAAACTTGTATTTGCCACTCTACAGAATGTCTTTGTATTTCATAGTATGGATACATATAATTTGTTTAATCAGTTACTTAATTGAAATTTGGAGGCTTTCCAGTGGTTATCAGCAATCCTATAGTCAACTCCTGTATATAGTATATCTTTTTGTATATGTAATAATTTTTTTGTGGGATAAATTTCCTGGAAGGAAGTTGTTGAGACACAGGATATATACATTTAAAGTTTTGAGGGATGTCTCAAAGTGTCCGCCCAAATACCTGTTCTCATGTCTTGCATCTTTTCATTTTATTTTTTTTTGAGACAAAGTGTCACTCTGTCACCCAGGCTGGGGTACAGTGGCACGATCTTGGCTCAATGTAACCTCTACCTCCTGGGTTCAAGTAATTCTTGTCTTAGCCTCCCAAGTAGCTGGGACTATAGGTGCATGTCACCATACCTGGCTAATTTTTGTATTTTTAGTAGAGGCAGGGTTTCACCATGTTGGCCAGGCTGGTCTTCTCAAACTCCTGATCTTAGGTGATCCGCCTGCCTCAGCCTCCCAAAGTGCTGGGATTACAGGCATGAGCCACTGCTCCCAGCCTCATCTCTTGAATCTTGAAAACATTACATTTATGACAAATCAAAGGTAGTAGCTAGTAAAGCCCCATAGGTTTTATTAGTTCAAAGGTTTTCTTAAAAATTGTGGTAAAGCTGGGCGCAGTGGCGCATGCCTGTAGTCCCAGCTACTTGGGAGGCTGAGGTGGGAGGATCGCTTGAGCCCAGGAATTCTGGGCTGTAGTGCGCTATGCTGATCGGGTGTCTGCACTAAGTTCGGCATCAATATGGTGACCTCCTGGGAGCGGGGGACCACCAGGTTGCCTAAGGAGGGGTGAACCGGCCCAGGTAGGAAACAGAGCAGGTCAAAACTCCTGTGCTGATCAGTAGTGGGATCACGCCTGTAAATAGCCACTGCACTCCAGCTTGGGCAATGTAGTGAGGCCCCATCTCTAAAAAAAAAAGAAAAAAAATTGTGGTAAAATATAATTTTACTATTCTAACATCAATTTACTATTCTATAACATGAATTTTACTATTATAACCATATTTAAGTGTATAGGTCAGTGGCATTAAGTACATTCACATTGTTGTACATCCCAAAGAGTGTTCTTTTAATTAGAAAATAAACAGCTTCAGAGAAGGCATAGATGAATCTGTCTTTGAATTTAGTGGGATAAAGGAAAGTAGGATGTTTTGGGTCTAGTACTAGAAGGAAAAAAACGCTTTCCACAATTTGTCTTTCAGTTCCTCTGTCACAGATGGAATGTTTAGGTAGGCAGAATTATTATTATTATTTTTTCTCTCCCTCTTGAGACAGAGTCTTGCTCTGTTGCCCGGGCTGGAGTGCAATGGTGCGGTCTCGGCTCACTGCAACCTCCGCCTCCTTGGTTCAAGTGATTCTCCTGCCTCAGGCCTTGAGTAGCTGGGATTACAGGTGCGAGCCACCATGCCTCGCTAATTTTTTGTATTTTTAGTAGAGATGAGGGTTTCACCATGTTGGCCAGGCTGGTTTCGAACTTCCGACCTTGTAATCCACCTGCCTCAGCCTCCCAAAGTGCTGGGATTATAGGCATGAGCCACTGCACCTGGCCTCACGTAGGTAGAATTAGAAGAACACTCAGCCATGGTAGGCAGAAAGAAGCCCACAGAACAAATCAAAATCCATCGAGTCTTGATTCAGGACAGGATTAAAAAAGAAGTTGGGGTAGGGAAAGTTTGCTTGTTGTAAAGTATAAAAGCCTGGACAGGATGGAAGTGATTTGCATGCATTCCCATTTGTATGTGTGTTTTTCTGTGTTAAGGTTGTCTTTTTATATCTGAACATTTCAAAACAATTTGTATTGGCTATTAAAGATACATATGGTATTTACCTTTTAACATAAGATTTTAAAAAATAAGTAAATGAAAAATGGAAAGAAAAGAAAAGTGATATGATCACATGATATGAATAGAACACAGAATTTGTGCCAAAGAAAGTCTCATTTGTTTGTCCCTGAGCTTCCTAGCAGCAGAGAAAAGAGGAAAATACAGCTCATGATCCATAAGATTAGGATGATCCAGAACTCAGGATTAACATAGATTTCCCCAGAATAGACCTCAACATTTACCCTCAAATTATAAATAAATCATTACTCTAGAAAACCTGGTCTTCAATCATATCTCTAAAGTCAGTACTGTAATAAGTTTAATGGTACTGTTGGTTAAATTGTCCTTCAATCTAGACTGATGACATAATGTCAAAGTACAGTACAGTAAAGGGACCAGGTTAAAATGATTCAGGTGTGTAGCCTGCTGATGTTCTGACTTGGCCAAGAATAAAATTAGAGTAGCTATAATAACGCTTATTTCTTTTTTTGAGATGGAGTTTCGCTTTTTTTTTTTTTGAGACGGAGTCTCACTCTGTCACCCAGGCTGGAGTGCAGTAATGTGATCTCAACTCACTGCAACCTCCGCCTCCTGGATTTAAGCAGTTCTCTGCCTCAGCTTCCTGAGTAGCTGGGATTGCAGGTATGTGCCACCATGCCTGGCTGATTT